CACAAGATGCTTCAAAAAGATGAAATGACCAAAAGTCATAAAACCTGTAGAAAAACTCTTTATTCTAAATTAGCATAATGAAAAGAAATTAAATTCAAAAGATGGGGGCCCTGGGTTCTAGTCCCAACTTGGCCATATGCATTTGTCACACAGATGTATAATCCCAGATACATCATTTAATCTGTTAGAAACTCAGTTATCTAACTGCAAAATGAAAATGAACTGGATGATTTGAGAGCCCCTCCCACACTAAAATTCTAAGATTCTAAGCATTTAAAAGATCTTATATTTGATAAGGCTAACAGACTATCAAAGACATTGTCTTAAAATGTCACTACCGTTTAGAGATTCTTTTTTCTAACAAGATGATCAAAGTTCAAAACTCTAAAAGAAATAATAACATCTTATCTAAAACATACCTAAAATGTTTAAGCTGTTTCTAATGGCTCAGTTTCTGCCTTTAGCAATTAAGAGGAACCAGATTATGACCACAGTCACGGACAGATTTACTTCTAGTGTCAGCAGATTCTTCCACAGATTTATGTAGAACTGCTCTAAAGAGGGCAAGAAAAAAAAAAAGGGTTCTTAGAAGTCGACTTGCTGAGCAGAAGAAAAAATAACCCAAAATACGCATACCTACAATAAAACTGATATAAAAGAAAGGTGAATTACAAGGAGAACTGACTAGCTAAGATTCTGATGATACCATCATCTATTTTTCATCCAGCCAATACTTATTAAGTACCTATTGTGTGCCAGACCCAGGGGATACAGTGAAAACAAAGTCTCTTCACTCCTACACTAGTGCAGAGAGGCTAACAACCACCAAGTGATTTCTGATACAGATAGGGCTATGAAACAAACAAAAACCCTCCTGATGTTGTGGAATTAGACAGGTAGAGATATGTTCACTGAAAAGACACCTTTGGATTAAGAACCAAATGACAAGAAGTTACCATAGAGCTTTCTAAGTAGACGGGCTAGCGAGTGCAAGGGCGCTGTGGTGGACACAAATCGGGGGTGTTTGAGAAACAAAGTGAAGACCAGGGTGGCTTTAGTGTAATGACCAAAGGGAAAGTGCTAGGAGAGCAGATCACAGAGGCAGGTAAGGGCCACGCATGATAGTGATATGATGTGATTTGCATTTTTAAAAGACCACCCTGGGATGCCTGAGTGGCTCAGTCAGTAGAGCGTCTGCCTTCAGCTCAGGTCATGATCCCGGGGTCCTGGGACTGAGCACTGCGTTGGGCTCCTTCCTGGGCAGGGAGCCTGCTTTTCCCTCTGCCTGCCACTCCCCCTGCTTGTGTGCGCTCGCTGACAAATAAATAAAATCTTTAAAAAAAATTTTAAAAAGACTACCCTACGTGCTGTGCACGTATCAAAAATCAAAACGTTCGGGTGCCTAGGTGGCTCAGTCGGTTAAGCATCTGCCTTCGGCTCAGGTCATGATCTTGGGGTCCTGGGATCAAGCCCGACATCAGGCTCCCTGCTCAGGGGGGAGTTTGCTTCTCCCTCTCCCTCTGTTCTCTCTCCCTCTCTCTCAAATAAATAAATAAAATCTTTAAAAAAAAAATCGAAATGTTCTCCGATACTGCCTTTCAAATGACAGACTCCATGATTTTATTGTATCTAAATCTAGGCTTGTTTCCTTTGTTCTTCTCAGTATTTAACAGTAACATAAATAGCCTTGAAACTGCTGTAAGTGTGGAGTTGTATGTGAATATTTTAATTGTAATTATATAAATAACATTGTAGGACTGCAATAATTATCTCCCTCTCTTCCTCCATTTGCTTTTTCCTTCCTTTTATATGCAAACTGGATTTTAACGGATGGATACCTCAGGCAGAGTCATCTATTTCTTTTACCAAAAAGATGTTTTTCACACTTTTATAAAAATATTCTATATATTAAAAAAATCCAACGTGGCTTGTTAAATTGGGCTAAAAGACCCTGAAGGCTGAGCCCTATATCATACATGAGATATAATAAAGTGCAAATAGCCATAACATAAGTGACATATCCATGTGAGAATCATTCTACAGTAACAATGAACAACATTCAAATGACAGCAGTTATGCCTGACAGTGAGCACTGCAAAGACCAATACAGGCTAAACTCACCAGTAACACAACCACCAAGTCGAAAAAGCATAGTAGTTTCGCATCAAAGTCCTAAAAATGTAGAACACTACAAAGAAACTCAAAGTGGCTTTGTAAGAATGGGAAATCCCAAGTGTAAAAAACTATATGAATCCTACCTCTAACCAGACAATGATGGACACTGACAGCTGACGTCAGGAAAGGCTTAAGAAAAGCAATTCATCAAGAATTCAAAGCACAGAGAGATTTCATCTGTCCCATCCATCCTTGAGGACTAGCTCTGGGGACTAATGCAAGCATCCATATATAAAGTACCAAATGTACCATCACATTACCCAAAACAACTTTTTATCAGAGAAGGCGCCCTGTGGCCTACCCCAAAAGACTCCAGCTTATCAGTAAACCTTTAGTAATCATAGATAAAGCCACACAAATGTATCCAGAACTGAAAAAATTCCTGTTTTCAACTAAGTAGCAAAATCACATGGATAAATAGAATTCTGACCTTGATGGCCCACTAGAAGAGATTTCCAAGCACGGCACAGAAAAACTACAAAGCATTCTGCACATGCTTTTTCTTAACACATGAGAGATAAGTTAGGCAAAGAAAATGCCGCAGGATTTCAGAGGTGTCACTAGCATTTTCCAAAGAAAAAAATGAGAAATGTAATTAAATAACTTGTGCCTTCCTGGCCTTTATTACAGGCAAGACCCAGACCAAACTAGCACTATATCATTTATCCCATCACTTCCATCCTTCATTGCTGAGTGGTTCTGTGCTACAACCTGGAGGAGTGGACATGATCTAGCAGTGCAAACAGAAAGAAGTCTGGAAGTAACCAAGATTTTTAAACTTTTATTAGTCCTTTAAAAATGTATTTAATTCCACAAAACAACTGACCTGAACTGTTCAAAACTATCAATGCCATAAAAGACAAAACAAAGCAAGGAAACTGTTCTACATTAACAAATATTAAAGAGACATGACAACCAAAGGAAATGCAGGATTCTTTTTTAAAAATTTTTTTATTTAAATTCAATTAATTAACATATAGCATATTAGTTTCAGAGGCAGAGTTTAGTGATTCATCACAGTTGCATATAACACCCACTGCTCATTACATCAAGCGCCCTCCTTAATGTCCATCACCCAGTTACCCCATCCCCCAACCCACCTCCCCTCCAGGAACCCTCAGTTTGTTTCCTAGAGTTAAAAGTCTCTTATGGTTTGCCTCTTATCTTTTTTTTTTTTTTGAAATGCATGAATCTTGATAGACTGAAAAAATAAGCTATAAAGAATATTTGTGGAACCAGAGACAATTTGAGTATAGACTATATATTATATAGTATTGTATCAATGTTAACCTTCTTGAATCTGATAATGAAATTATGGTTATGTAGGATAACGAACTTGTTCTTAAAACATACATTCTAAAGAATGTAGAGAGGGATAAAGCAAACTGCGGCCAAGTTACAAAGACAAATGAAACTCAGTTCCTACTCTCAGTGTGTTCACAGAAAAAGGTATTTCTCCTCCCACGTAAAATAGAAATATGCCATCAACATGCATATTTGTAATATAATACAATTATAATTATACATAACTATGTACCATTATGTTATATACAACAATGTATAATATGTAACAGAAAAATGTCATTAACAAGCAACTGATGATAAAGAACCTAAAGGAATACCAAAAAGGCTACCATTTATTAAGGACTGACACTGTGTCAGGGATGCATACACCACCATAAAGAAAGGTTAAATCTGTCCCAGGTTATAAAGCTAGGTTTTGAACTCAGGGCTCTATTTCTCCCCAAGGCTCGGTTCCTGACATTACGTTATACAGCCTCTTAACAAAAGAAGTCCAAAATATTAGAAATAAAAACAATACAGAAAACAGCAGACATCTGAATACAAGATACATTTGAAGTATAAACATCAAGTTTTATGACTGCAGGTTATATCGTTGGTATTTGCTCAAGTGTTTAATTTTGAATTAAAGAAAGTAAGTCTATCAAGAAAATAAAAGGGAAAAGTTTGTATACAGACTACTTTATAAATTTATAACCACATTATGGATGAGTAGAAGGGTCGGCATCAAATTTTCAGTTTCCTCATCAACAGGTCGCTTAAGTCTAAATCAGGTCAGCAAACCACAGCCCCAAGCCAAATCTGGCCCTCTTATTGTCTTTGTAAAGTTTTACTGGAACACAACCTTGCCCACTCATTTATTATGCCTGCCTTCCTGCTACAATGGCAGAGGTGAATACTTATGATAGAGATAGTATGGTCCACAAAACCTAAAATATTTATTATCTGGCCCTTTACAGAAAGTTTGCCAACCTCTGGTTTAAATAATAACCATCACAAATAGTAGAAAAATAATTAGCCTATTCAGTTCTATTTCGGCTTTACTGTGAACTCTACCTGATTTAAGTTCTCTTCCTTTGTAATTAGCGCCACTTAGAAAAAGCTAATGAGTTTTTTAATTTCCATAAGGATGTTCATATGTCAGTTATATTCCACAGAGTAAGTCTTGTTTCAGCTGCCCAGTAATTTATCTTCACAGTTCTATTACAAACAAAATCCTAATTAAAGCACATTTGCAGTTACCCCCACACATCCTTATCCTTCTACTGCATACAAGCTGCAAAGATATAAACAAAGAAAAGATGAATAGCTGATATGACTTTTTGAAAAGACAAAATAGCTGATATGACTGAAGAATTCCTAATACCCTGTTCACCCTAGAACATCTCAAAGTACCATTTAGGACCAATAACATCACCATCACCTGCCTGCTTATTAGAAATGCAAATTCATGGGTCTCATCCCAGACCTATACCAGGTGACTCTTAGACTGAGAGTTTAAGAACAGAGTTGATATTACTTGCCTTGAGTGTGAACAGGCTGATTCGGCCAGGCAGTTTATAAAACAGCCCCTCTCCTCCTCTTGAGTTGGAATGTAGCATGGCATTGAGACACGCAAGAGGGGATGTCCCACTGTAAAAACATACAAAGATGGATGAGGGTTATAGAAATCTATATGCCTACTTACTCAAAGATCCAATATCCTCCAACTCATTCTTAAATCAAGAAATATAGCAGAAGAGAGCCCATGACAACAATTCCACTTTCAAAGTAGTACAGGGCAACAAATGAAATCCCCATCAATCACACCAGGTAGGATATGGTATGTGATTCCCTTGTTCTACACCTGGCACTTCCTTAGTGCATTTTGACAATATCAACCAAGTTCTCAAAGAGATTTAGAAAAAGTACACAATGACTGTTCAAATTCAGGGAGTTTTAAAAAAAACATTACCCAATATTTTCATTAAATTTTAAGTTAAATTTTAATATTAAAAACAGAATGTGTTTCCTAGTCTCTGTATTTTGACCTGCATATATCATGCTCAGAAATATTATCAGCACAAAGCCCACAGGATCAATGGTGCTGTCCCAAGAAAACAAGCACACCTTTTCATCCCCAGTTAAATATTTGCTAATAAGCACACAAAAGAAGAGTATTTCATTTGCTTTTTCTCTGTTGGGAAGGGGAGAGAATGGGTTTTATTCTACATCTACCCAGGAGCAAGCACTTAAATTTAAACTTAAAAAGAAAAGTCAGTCAAATGGATCTGGTACCCAATAATGGAAAAAAGATGGATCATTAAGCTATTTCACACTCCCTGCTACAGTAGTTGGTTGCAAAACAATAACTCAGTGAATTAGAGGCCATTTACTGATTCTTAAAATAGAACAGCTGTCAAAAACACAAATGTCCATTATTAATATTAACTGAGTTTGGCACTAGCATATTAGTGCTAGGATTCACCTGTGCACCTTCTCGTCCCTCTCCCCAGTATGCTAAAAATATATAAATATTTTAAGTAAAGCCTCTTAAGATCTTTCAGAACCAGAAGCCTTAATTTATGCAGTGTTAAAAATAAATTCTCAGTCTAAAAAAGCCATTAAAAAAAAAACAAACCCTATTACTTATTCTGCTTTGGAACACACTGGATGCTAAAAAAATTTTCAACAAGAACCAATCTCTACAAGAAACCTTGTGCAGAATCTGGAGTATCAAGTGGGTGTGCTAACATCTCTGCTACAAGGGGGAATGGCATGCTGGCAGAGTCCTTCAGCAGAACAGTGTGACTCCTACACACTATACCTCTGTCTACAAATTACAGAGCTGCTCACTCATCATGAGCCACCATGACTGCTTCATTAATTCCTATAAGAGCAAGAAGCAGAAACAAGTTATAAAGTTCTCAATTTCATCTGTCCCAAAGGGACTAATTTACCTTCTATAGGTATAGTGGTCCAACAGCAGTGCAGACAGCAGCGTGATGGGAAATAGCCCATAAAAACAAAAATAAAGTACAATTATAACACTACACAGTGCATAGGTACTATTTAAATGAATGTGATCTACACAATCCTGATCTTCCCTCCCCACAAACTGTCAGCTTGAGACTGTGTGAACTGGTAAACTGGAAAGTGAGGATCTTTTGACCCTAAAAGGTCAATTTCAAGCAGCTAAAACTTAACCAGCAAAAACATATGCTGTTTGTTCTGAGTTCCAAGAAGGGAGACTATGTTGTATTCTCCTCTTTCATTTAAATTAAAGAAAAAGGGGGTTGGGGTTAGAGTGCAGAAAGGAAAGAATTAAACGCAGCCACTAATGTCCGTGCCTGTAATTCCTTTTATTTCTAACTTGTTGCTTCTCTAGCAAAACTACAACATACAAGAATAAAATCAAGGTCACACTAAACTTTAGTATATTCCTATGATGAATGGCTAGAATCAGTAGGGAGGAAAAAAAGGCCAGTGGTGTTACAGTGATGAGACGACCCTTCTTTTGATCCTAAAACAAAGAATTTCAGGGATATAAAAAGAAGGGAAGTTTTATACAAGATAGAGCCGATCAGAGTCTGCCCCTTCTCTACTAATACGTGCAAAAGAGAGTACAAAAGAAAATGCATGGATTCCTTACACAAAGAACACACTCCATGTCAAGATTTAAGGGAGAGCAAGAATAGAGAAAGCTGCTGCATCTCTAATGAAAACAAATGGATGTTCACTCATTCCCACCCACCACTCAGAAGACACACAACTTGGGCGATAGTTCTATACCACACCAGACTGGGGGGGGGGGGGGGGGGGGGGGGGAAAAAAAAACGGGGGGGGGCGGGGAGAAGGCATATATACACTTAATCACGACACTAAGTATCCACAGAAAGATGTATGTCCTATGAAACCCTCTTGAACGAGAACAATACGAACCTCATTTCCTTTAATCCTTCTGCCTCTATGACCTGCAGAATCTGTTTTGGTGTCATTGGAGCATCCGAGTAGTTTTCTAGTACCTGAGGAAATATAAATGTTCTGATTTTAGTGTACAATTTCCATTTATATCCATCAGTCTATATCCTGAGCTACAGTTCTGCTATGAGGCACCACTGCTAACAATTTAGTTTTTCCACAGTTAATACTGCTTCAGAAACCAAATTACATATCTAAGAGGTTGCTAAAAGTGATTGAAAGTAGCATAAATATTCTAATTCTTAATTCTAAAAACACCCATCTTCTTAGCATACATGCTATGTTATGGTACATGGGTGGGGCCTTAGCAACTTTGGTTACTGCTTAACTTCACATTGTTCACAGGGCTAAACCACAGAATACATAGAGCTACAAAATAATGACAAGACAGAAATGCATTCAGGTTTTTTTTTCCTGAGGAAGTCTGATTAGTACCCATATTTTTTTTTTTAAAAGAATGGACTATTGTTTTTTGTTTGTTTGCTTGTTTTTAAAGACTTTATTTATTCCATGGACAGAGAGAGACACAGCGAGAGAGGGAACACAAGCAGGGGGAGTGGGAGAGGGAGAAGCAGGCTCCCCGCAGAGCAGGGAGCCTGATGCGGGGCTCGATCCCAGGACCCTGGGATCACGACCTGAGCCGAAGGCAGACGCCTAACGACTGAGCCACCCAGGTGCCCAGTACCCATATTTTTAAGTGATGGTTTTTGCCACCATGTTGTGAAATTTTGGTATGAACTGCCACAGTACACTTTGTCATTTGGCAACATGAAGCTCTGATTCTTTATGACTGGTGCAGGCAAAGCAACGAGACACAGAATGTCCCATTTACGTTCGCAACATCTCTAACATAAAGTCATGGCAGCAGTTTCCTAGTGAGCAACTGCGGCTCTCTCACGTGAAGGAGCGGAGCTGTTTTAGAAATGCCATCCTTCTCAGGGAGGAAAAAGGCTGTCAGTATCTTTGTACGGTCCCTACCAGCAGCTGCTGAGGCTACTCCGTATACCTTGCAGTCACTGAACAACTGTAACAACTAAGTGCTGCTTTGTCACAAATAAAATGTAAAGCAAGAAGTCTGACAGGACTGCTGCTAAAGGGTCTCCCTGTGGAAGAACATAAGCCCTTAACACTAAAGGAAGTCAAGCTTTGGAGAAGCAGGTGCTGAAATAAAGCCCCTATTTACCATGGTCCCATTGTTAGCCTCTCTCTTTTCAATGTCTACATTCTCTTCAAGTAGCTCTATCACCTCTCATAGCCTCAACTACTACCTATGCTCTGCTAACTCCCAAATACTCACCTCTAGCCTGGGTTTCTCCCCAGCTTCCGACTCAAATATTCACTTCTGTACTGACATCCGCCCCCTCGATCATCTGTTCTAATTCATCTAACTGGCAACTCCAATTCATCGCCCCTCTTCCTCCATCACCTAATGCAGAAACCTAGACAGCACCCCTCATTCTCACCTGTCCCCCAATTCCTTCCCTCACCCAACACACAGCCCTTTCGCTAATATGCCTGCAACCAGCTCTGCTTTCCTCAAATCCATCCTTCCTCCGCGACCATCCTTCACTCCACAAATACATGAAATACTTACTGTGCCAGGGACAATTCTAGAATTCAGCAGCAAAAAAGACCAAACCCCAGCTCTTGCAGAACTTACCTGCTATATGAGGTCAACCCAACAAAATAAATCTGCCCTCATCACTTTCCCCGCTTTAAATTCTTCAACAGCAACCTAATCACATACAGCAAAGGCCAAAGCTTCCGAAGAAGAGCTCACCAGCTCACTGGAAAGCACAGGCTTTAGAACCAGACAGACCTGGATTTAAACGCTAGCCTTCTAAACCTGGGCAAGTTACCTCCCAAACTGAGCCTCAGTTGCCCCACTTGTGATGTAAAGATATTGATGTCTTCCCCTAAGAGTTGTTTTACAGATTGCAGATGGTGGAAATAAGTGTCTATGGTGCCCGGCACAAGTATGTGCTCACAGGCCTGGCACGCAAGGCCCTCAGAATCTGGTCTCTGCCTGTCTCTCCACCCAACTGCCAAACTGATACTCCACAACTTCACGTTCCAATAACTATGTGTAGTTCTACCCAATTCCCACACTCTCCACCCTGTGCACAAGTGTGCACACACACACCACTGGCTCCTTGTCACCAGCTCCTAACATCCTCCGTGATGGGCCTAACTTCTACTTGCCCTTCAAGATTTAGTTTGGGAAAGCACCTTCCTCTAGAAAGCCTTCTCTGATCTCTGCCAGGCAGAGTTAAATGTCTCTTTTCAGTGTCCTCATAGTCCACAACACATGTAATTTACCTTCCACAGTGGGACACTGAGTGAAAGGAGAAACCAGTCATGACGACGCCTGGACAATAAACCTGAACCAGAATGTCTGTTTTATCATAGTACATCTACGATGGCACTTATCATGCATGTAGTAAAATTCTATTCATGGGTCTAGACCTTCTCCATTCCCAGAAGACCATTAAGTTCCTCAAGGGCAAACCTTATCCATCTTTGTATTCTAAGAACCTGAGTGCCAAGTTAAGCAGTGTTGACTTGAACAAACCCACAACAAACCCTGTTACAAGCTACTAACATTCACTGCCACAGGTATCACTTTTTTGATACTAAATGAGAGCTGAGTTAGCAAATTTCTGTACTGTAATTTTTTTTAAAAGAAGCATGACTCTGAAAAATTAGTTACCAATTATTTAAACAGCAGTCAGGAAGAGCCTGAGAATCTAAGACAGAGAATCTTGGAGCCTGAGAATCTAACTTCTCTAAAAGGAAGTTACATCAAAAGATACAAAGTATTCACTTTTATTATAATTGTATATGCCTCCAGCTTTTAGTACAAGAACAATTCAGCAGTGTTCTATTCCTAGTCCCTATCTTTCTGGCACACTTAAAAAAAAAAAAACAGCATCTCTTCTACTTCAAAGAGAAAAAAAATGTTTGATGTAAGAATGGTCAGTCATGAATCAAAGTGAAAGATAAAGCATACAATGAAGAGTTTCTCAAAGCCACGGAGAATCCATTTAAGGACATTCAATTTAAAGGGAAATCCCCTAGGCTATTTCTCCCAAACAAATCGTTCCTAACAAGCAGGAGGATTTATACCATCCAACCCTCTAAAGTCTACCTCTTATATCTAGAAAAGACAATACTACAAAATGTTTGAAAGAAGAGTATCTACTTCTCAACAACATAATTAACATCTGCAAAAGTCAATCTCCTGAGGTATACTACACTAATGAAATTCTCCAGAACCTCTTTTTTCCTACCAAAATAGTTTTTAAGAATTCCCAGTATCACTCTAGCCACCAATCTAAGCAAGGTCAGGAGCAATATGAAACCACCCCATAGCAACTGCATCTGATTGCCAAGTCAAGCACTCCAAATTCACCTGTCCAAAGAGTAGATTTAATCGCCTGCCCTCCCATTACGCGCTTTCTCTAGTCAAGCTGCTCTCTGTCCAGCATACGCTCTCACAAACTCCCCAGCACTCCGTGTTGCAGCGGTTTTCTTTAAATGGGGAGAGGACTCTGAAGAGTTGCCCCTCACCCACCAAATGGTCCCATCCAAAGGGATGGAAAATTCTAATAAAAAATAAAAGATATGCACAATTACGCACCATGTTTCCACAAGTCGTCTTTCATATGTTTTAAGTGCACTACAAAGTTATTCCTATTCATATTATTTTTTAATGAAGAGCCATAAAACAAAAATAGAAATAACTTATTCAGATAATCTGGCATGAAGTTAAGCCAATGATAAAACAAAACTAACAACCTGGATACTAGAGTTCAGATCACAGTAAGTTCAAGAAGCTAAAGAGGCTTAACGGAACAGTGGACCGTGAATTCCTGAAGTCTTTCAACTAGTAAAAGCCAACAGAGCTTTGAGACAAATACACTTCAGAATTCTGTCAGAACGTAAGTAACACAGGATTTAAAAGTACTTTCACCTACCTCTAACAAGTAAAACTCTGGCAAGCAAATTTCCTTTTGGTGCCCAGAGTCATAAACACCTGCGTTAACAGGAACTTAGAGGAGAATTTCAATGAACACCCAAGACTCAACCTTGAGGAGAAAAAGAGCAAGCACATCCTTTGGCTCTCTCCTCCTTTCCCTCAGGCCTAAATTTGTTTCCAGGTGAGGCAACACTGGAGAAATCCTAAAATTTCCAAGAGATCTCAAAGCTAGCCAAAGCTTCCAATTTTGACTGAACCAAGAAAATATTTAGAACTTCAAAATCTACAAATTTCATATGCCAAACCAAAACAAATGAACAGAAGCATGAAACTTGAGCACACAAACACTTGCTATTTCTGTTCACTGGGCAACAAGTGCCTGGGGAAGACAATCAGGAACACCAGTGAAAATTCTCTCGCAAACCAAACAGCTTTATTTCTTGTAAGTCAATAACTGAGTTTTACATGTTCCAAGAAAGAAAAAGGTGTACCATAGAGCCCTAACGACCCCCAACACAATAATCATCTCTTTGTCTACACAACACCTCTGAGGAAGGAACCTCGCTTCCCAATAAAGTAAAAGATTAGAAAGTGAAGTTTCATTCATCATTAAAAGTGAATTACAGCAATTACATTTAAACTACAAGGTGTCAAGAGACATATATGCTATCTGCACTATAACCCTGCTCTGTGACAGTTCTTGAGGAAGTGACATCTCTAGAAGTTACAATTGTCATCTGCCAAGATATATTTGTAAGAACATGTCTCCCAGTGTCTTAGCTTTGTGGGTGCAAATCCAAAAGGAAGCTATTTCGATTACAAGTCCTCTGACTCTATGAGAACAAAATACACAACCTTCCTCACTAGGCAGCTTCAACAAATCACTCCCTCCTCTGCTAAGTCCTCAATGAGCAGTATCTTCAGAGGTACTTGGTCTTTGTCCAACACTTCAAGTATAACATGCACCAGGACACTAAGGAGAGGAGGACACACACATACATTCTCCCCAAAGTAGAGTCAGTTCTCTGCAGAGTCCCTATCTCCAGTCTAGCTTATGAAGTAAAACCCTCTCGTCAGCGTTTCTCAAAGTGTGGTCCCGGGCCACCTGCATTACAGTCAACATGGGAAGCTGGTTAAAATGAAGACACTGAGGCTCTACTCAGTCTGAATTTCAGACTCAGAAGATCTTAAGCACGGCCCTAGGACGAGCATTCCTAAGAACCTCCCAGGTGTCCCCAACAAGACACTAAAGTTTGAAAACCACTGCTCAGGGTTCCACCTGGGAGTAAGCACTTGCTTCCCTCCACACACCTGGTTTAGATGGGGAAAGCTCAAAATGTCACTCGCGTCCTTAAAATTGGGGGTATTTTCCGACCCCTGGAGTCAAACGCACCACCCCATTGCCCACCAGGAAGCGAGGGAGGAGCTTCCGACCCTTCCCGGAAACCTAACTCCCCCGAGTGCATAAACGAAGCTTCCCCAGACCCCCAGACGCTGCCAAATAGTGGGGGAGGGGAGGTTGGGGCCCCGCCGCCCAGAGGGGGAGGAGCCGGCCAGCCAGCTCGCCCCTCCGCAGGAATTTAGGGGGTGGGGGGAGCTGCAGAAAAAGGCGCCACATCCAACCGGCGGAGGACCTCTCCCCCACCCAATGCCTGGGGGGGGGGTGTCCCATTCCTAGAAAATTGGTGGCCCCGCCCCCTCCTGCAGTGGGCAGGGCTTCTCCCCTCCCCCTCCCCGTGGAGGGGGCTCGGCCAGCCCACCCCCCACGTCCCCCACTGAGCCCCCTCGGCGGCCCGCCTCACCAGGCGCGCGGCCTCGGCCCACGTGCGCTCCTTCTTCCTCTTCTGTTTGTCCTTCATCCTCCTCCTCCCCGGCGGCGGCGGCGGCGGCGGCGGCTCCACGCGGGACCTCCGGGCGGGGCGGGTGGCGGCGGCGCGGGGCTGGGGCAGCGGTGGCG